TAATGACTTATACTGTCTTTTTACGCATTGCGTATCGCGCTGCGTAAACATAAAACCATGTCTGGAGAAACGACAAACAACAAGTGCTACTCTACACTGCTCAAAACTTGCTTTTGAATTGTCAGTGGCAAATTCTTTAAATATAAAAAAAAATAAAAAAAATTAAAAAAGGCTGTGAGTCAGAAGCACCAGACTGTCCTTACAAAGTTGGAATTGCCCCACTTTATAGAAACAGACACCGGCATTGTAGGCTACTCTCCCAGGATCAGGAAACAGTCCTCATCCTCCGCAAAATGAGCTGCACACATCTGAATATTTGGGTTGTACTGTTCTGGAACACTGTTGTAAATACAACTTAACCACTGATTTACAATGGTGTCCTCTTTTGGAAGATCAAACTAAGTAGTTTCGCTTTCACAACAAAACACACAGCGTCACACACGGCAGGCTAGAGTGAGGAACGGCCGGCGGGCTTGAGAACGGCATGGCTGGCGGATTCGACAAAGGAGTGGCCGGCGGGCTTGCGGCAATCACATGTGATGACCCCAGGCTGGACTCCACTTTGTCCACGGTGAACGCCGATACGGCGTTCCACATTGCGAAGTTGATGTATTTCCTCAGCGACCAGCACGGATCAGCTCTACGCATGACGAAGCGGATATCGTCCTCTTTTGGAAGACCAAACAAAGTAGTTTCGTGTTCACAACGAAACACACAGCGTTTTCACGACATGGTGGCAGCAACAATACTACAGCGAGAATCAAAGTTACGCATTTTCTTTGCGTGAACATTTGGGAGGCGTTATGCAAATGTAAGCATGGTTTCCCTACGGTGGTTCAGGCTGTAGGATTGCCGAATGACTAAAGAAACGTTATATATCAGCACGATGGTATAAAACTGTACATTTCTAGTCTATTACCACCCACTGTCACTTATACCAACGACGGAAATAAGCACAGTTAGCACTCCAAAGAGAAAGGAAAAATTGAAATCGCATCATATGACCCCTTTAATACAACGACAACATGTTAATGCAACTAAACCCCAAATTAATTTTGCATTGAGCTGTAGCCTCCAGTTCGTGCTTGTTGTAAGCAAATGCAAGGGTCAACAAGATAATCTGCTGCCACCTGCTGATAAATGTTGTTAAATGTTGATAAACGTTGCTAAAATGTCATACACTATTTAACTGACTGTAAAAAAAAAATTATAATTCTAGTTTCAAAAGAAAATAAAGAATTTACAACTAAAGAGTTGACTAATGTTCACTTGGGCTATAACAAAACTTGTTTTATAAGATGGACACAAAGCTTTTACAATTTCTTTCAAAAGTTAATTTAAAATATATTTTATAGAAATGTATGTGTAATTCTTGGTTTTATAATGTTTTTTTTATTTTATGTTTATTGTATTTGTATTTTGGTGTTCAACTATATTTTTAATGTATAATATTTGTCATGAAATAGCCTGTGAAGCTAATGTGGCAATAAATTTAAATTACCTGTTAACTTAGGCTATAACATGCAACATGCTCAAAGGTCCAATCGACTGGCTGTCACTCATCTTTCAAGGGGTGTCATTATTATTATTAATTCGTTTACTTAAAGGTTCTTAAAAGCCGTGGATTAGTCTTTTTCTGTATAATTTTCGTGAAAATAAGATACTGGATGTAACAAAGTTCGTAGTCACGGGAAGGAGGTGGGAACCGGCGAACATTTATACAAAACTTTAATAATAAAATAAACACAAAATAGCGCGACAGCCCCTCGTGGATGACTGTCGCGCACAAACAGAACCAAAACACAAAATAAAGTCCAGACCTGGTCCTCTCTCATCCCTCCTCCTTTTATCCTTCCGGAGCTCCTCCATGGGACTCGAGACCGGTGAGTGGCGCAGGTGTCGCGTATTAGCATTTACTCCACCGGCCTCACTCCATTCCCTGCCCCTCTCATCACACTGGATTAACGCGAATCCTGCTATTATACCACTCTTGTCTATTAGATGTCACTCTCGTATCTCCCTTTTTACTGCGAGTATACAAGACAAAATAAACGTAAATGCTCATCAGAAGTTTGAAAAATACAGTGAAATTTACTGAAATATATAATTTCTCGTGTAATCACCCAGGCATGCGTCAATCTCGGAAAGGCGTCAGTAAAACAGCATGCATGTGTGAACGTTACCTTTACCTTATAAGAATAAATAAATACTTAGTGGAGTGCATAGCCAAAAATATAATTATATTTTTCTTAAATGTTTGTGTAGCTACAGCTATCTAGTTTGCTTGAGTATTGATTATTAGACCTACATCTGAAAATAAATTTGAACTTGATAGTTTGATAGTAACACACCCTGCAGGCCTATATTTTACATTATAAGAGACGATTTCCTCAAGAAAATTGAGCTGTACCTGAAATATTTCCAAATGGATAGATATCTAATCAAAGTGCATCAAGATTGGAATAGATGTGCCGATCAATGAGTGCTACAGTCTACGGTGCTACACTGCTGTGCTGCGCGGAGACGCGGAGGGAGAAAGGCATCGGAACTAGACAGAGTCTCAACATTTCCCGACCTGACCTGATATTTTGATTTTTTATTTGTTTGACAGGGAAAGCTGTGCTTTATTAAAAAAAAAAAAAAAAACCTCTCCGGAAAAAAAAGGGCACTTTCTCTCGAGGAAGAAAAAGGGCAGGTACTCAAGCCCCCTTTTATGTCTATGTGTGCACGTGCCTGGAATAGAATCATATAAAGAGCTTGTGAATCAGAATCGAATCGTGGAATCTGGATCATTACCCCGAGAATGATGCATTACAGTTACACTTTATACCTCTTATGCTAGTTATACACACACAAAATATATAGTATTGAGCAAAATAATAGAAAAAGTATTTGTGACAAAACTTTTATTATTCAGTAAGTGTGAACAGGAAAATCCTGGTACTGGAAATGTCTCCTGTAAAACTTAAGAGGTGAAATTTTTCCTTTTTTGAATAATTAAATAATGAGCAAATGGTTTATTCTCAACATGATAATAATAAAAAAACAAAACATTATTGCACTTTCTTTTTACAGGATGAACCTTTACATATGAACCCAAAACATAAAAAAAAATTACATAAGATGTCCTGTATACTTTTCAGTTCATCAAGAAAATATTAACTGTATTTTTGTTCATCAACACGGTGTCTTTGCTGCTGCTGTAGAATGTGTCGAGCTGCTGGATTCAGTGCAGCAGGATGAAGGAGAGCAGAGAACAGCAGAGGAACAGGAAGCTCTGAGTGACACTCTGAGCACTGTTACACAGGTTCCCCTCACAACATGAGATGTCCTGAACATTAGGAACCGATTTTGTGGCATTACAAATGGCTTTAGAGACACAGCCTTTCACAACCAGTGACTGGCCTCCGAAACTGCCTGATGAAACGAAAGAAAAGAAAAGGTTAGTCTGAGCTTTACTGGTATATGGGATCCGTTTCAAACGCCCAGACATAACAGAAATAAAAATGACTTTAATCTTCTTTTTAGCAGATTCTCACCTGTTGCTGTAATGCAGCGGTCTTCACTCCCTGAACAGGTCACTGTGTTTGAGCAGCTCTTCCCATCACAAGAGTAACATTTCATTCCGTTGGAGTTGGAATCTACAAGAGAAAAACAGTTTTTTAAATTTTATTTTCTGTACAAAATATGTCTAATGAAACAACAGCCTATATTGATTATCCATTCAATCAGTTCCCAATAGAATATCTGACTCTACATGTTACATGATTATAGAAGTCCAATCAAAACACTCACTGTGCTCTCCCAGCTTTTATAATTGCAGAGACCCGTCTCTTATATCAAACGTTACTCAAGGTCTGCACTCTAAAATTATCTTTATTATAGCAGGAGATATAAAAACTGATGACAAACGTTTCGCTTGCTGTCTCCGTCAGTGCGACAAGTTCTCAGTAACTCAATGATTATATAAAGACCAATGAAGACTAACAGGTGGTAGTAATTATATAACTTTGTACAGTTCTTAAATTCAAGATTAGATTCTATTACTTTTTCAGTTGAGAATAATGTATCCTCTATTAGTTTTCTAGATGTGTTAATATCAAAAATCAATAACAATATCTCCACCACGGTGTTCCGTAAACCAACAGAAAATAAAAATACATTACTATCTGCTGATAGTCATTAAGCCAACTCTATAGACTGAGACGTATTTGTGAGTCAGAAGGGGAATTTGAGAAACAGTCTAAAATTGAAGAATCGTTTTTGTTCAAGATGATATCCACAAACTTGGTTTCATTTAGCAGTTGAAAATTTAATCTGAGAGATTTCAGTTATTGAATTATCAAAAAAAACAAAAAAAAAAAAACAAGAAACCATTTTCAGTAAATTATATTCTAACTAAAACAAAACGCATAAAAAAAACAGTTATCAGATTAAATCCATTGTGAACAAATATTGGTTTCTTAGTTTCAGATCCTTCTTTAAAGAGAGGTTTTCAAACAACCTCCGATGTTTACTTATAAAAGATCTCAAAACTTGGCAAACATGCTAGTCAGATCAGATCATGATGACAATAAAGCATACATACAAGGTTGTTTTCCATGTCGAAATTGTACTGTACATCATGTTCTTCAAAACAACAATGCAAAGATTTTATGCGTTTTTTGACAAATAAAACATACCATCTAATCTGCATATTCTATTTAAATATGCATTTGCACAAATATAACAGTACATTTCAATTCATCACACTGGACTTACCTATTTGTGTCACCGCTGTTAAACTCATACACTTGGAAGATTTAGCTTCACAAGTGATCTCCTTTTGATCCGCACAAGAACCCGTCAGACCCTTACACTCATAACATCTGCGAGAGTGCCCTTTAGTAATAAAACAGAGAGATGGTGAGAGAGAGATCCTGTATTTGTACCTATTAAAAACAAACACCATTTATCTTTGTACCTCCAGTGAAAAGAATGAGCAAAAGAAAAACTGAGACTTGCAGATCCATCTTTGTTCAGGAGGTGAATGAGATGATGTGTTTCAGTGCCAATTTTATATCCTAGAAAAAGGGGCGGGGCTTTGTGAAATAATGACAGGTAATAATGACAGAAAGACATAAAACGAGTAGATATGTCAGGAAATAGAAATTAGGAATATAGAATTTAAGGAATGTGTATAGTAGGTTTACTTCTGTCAATCTATTAACAATAATTACAAGACCTTAGAAGAAGGACTGGATTTATCAGACTGAGTCAGCTCTGAAATGTGAAGAATTGGGTTTAAAAAATGCCAGATACACTAAATCTTCCTCTTTCTGGAGAGTTTCCCAAATGCAAGTTTGGAATAATTACATTTTTAAATGTTTTTGAAAGAAGTCTCTTATGCTCACCAATAATGCTAGTATCTGATCAAGAATCCTGAAAAAAAAAGCATTATTATATGGTGTTTTGGTGCTCAAGAAACATTTATTATTAACATCAATGTAGAAAAAAGTTTTTTTTCTGGAAACTTTTACACCCAGTACATTTTTTAGGATATTTGTTGAAAAGAAAATTCAAACAAACAGCATTTATGTGAAAATGGAAAATCTTATAAATGTCTTTTACTGTCTCTTTTGAACAATTTAATGCTTTAATCCAATTAAATCCTTGCAGAGTAAAATAATTTATTAAAATTCATGTTTTGTTTTTTTTATCTTACCCCAAACTGTTGAATGGTAGTGCATCACGGTTTCCACGGAAATATGAAGCAGCACAACCATTTTTAACATTGATAATAATAAGAAATCTTTTCTATGTAAATCAGCATATTACACTGATTTCTAAAGGATCATGTGACACTGCAGACAGGAGTTATAATGCTGAAAATTCAGCTGGAGGGCCACTGTCCAACTTCACCCCTAATTAAACTCACCTGAACCAGCTAATCAGGTCTTCAGGATTACTGCAAGCTTCCAGGAAGGTGTGTTTGGGCAGGACGGATGTGACTCCAATGCAATATCCCTATTATGACTCATTAATACAACAGAAACTATATGTAAGAATAATATATTATACACAATTTACATGTTAACCAAAATAGAAACCTTTCTGAAATGACTATTTCCTTTTCATCAGATATTCCGTACCAGAAGAAAGACAGCCGGGATTGCATTGATGAGGGCGAGTAAATGAATGTTCACTTTTGGGTGAACTATAACTTTAACCACAAACGGATGCTCAAAGTTTTTAATTAGCCGCACCACATTAGATTATGTTTTTATGGAACCCCTAAAGGGACATGGTGGTGGGAAAAAAATTCGGGGTGGGAGGAAATTTTTTTTGGCGTTCCCTCGCAAAACTTTTGCGTTCTCTCGCAAAGATATTTGCGTTCCCTTTTGCAAAAGTTTTGTGAGAGAACGCAAAAAATCGGACAAATATTTTTTCCTCCCACCCCAAATTTTTTCACTAAGCCATGTCCCTTTAGGGGCTCCGTACTACGTACAAAACGCAAATATCTTTTGCGAGAGAACGCAAAATATCTTTGCGAGAGAATGCAAAAGGTAACGCAAATATCTTTGCGAGAGAACACAAAGTTTCTCGAGGGAACGCAAAAGTTTTGCGAGAGAACGCAAAAAAAAAATTTCCTCCCACCCCAAATTTTTTTCCCACCACCATGTCCCTTTAGGGGCTCAGTACTTTAGGGGCTCCGTACAAAAGAGATTTAATTACAGTACATCTTTACAATATAAATCTCTGGACCTGACAGTTAGACTTCAGTTCGCCTAGGAATGCATAAGGTTTGGCCTGGTGGGTATTCAGGAATGAAGAAATGAAAAATCATGGGAATGAAATAAAAACAAATATAAGTTAAGATGAAGGGAAGGTTCCTTGCCCAGAAAATGGTAAGCAAATATGTACTGTAGGAAGGGTGGAGTAAGTTGAGTCACCCTTTTTAATGGAAGAATGCATCATTTTTGTATGTTCAAAAGAAGCATGTCAAATCTTGCTGTTTGTAATTGAAGTATTTTTATGCCACCTTTTTATGATTTACTGTGCATGTGAAGTACAGTGATACTTTCCTATCAAATATCATGTTGATGACTTGCCATTAATGAAGCACTTTTCCCAACATGATGGCTTTGAGGAAAGATGCTCGAGTGATTGTACTTGCTTTGGCATTATTATTTATTTTTTCTATATATCAAAATTTGTATTAAAACATTTTGTATATATAATTATTTATTGTATATATCAAACCTACAAAACACATAGATCTATATAAAAACAGACACTTCAAAATATGAAGGTTCTTACCCATTTGCAGGAAGTAGTAGCATTAATTGGCTTGATTGCTATACTTGGGGAAGTACAAGCAGGAGTGCCATTTCCTATGTAGCATTCTTTGTTTGATTGTTTAATTAATATATACAATGGTTTACTTGCATGTTATATTGTCCTGGTCCTAGTTCGGTAAAATATTATTTTGTACTTTATTATTGTTATTGATTACTTAGATCTTATTTACTGAAATGTACAAAAACAAAATGATTGAAAAATTAGACTGAGAGTTACAGTTATTTCTCAACTGGTTGTGATTCAGTCATCATGTAAAAATTTGTGGACACCTCCTTATGATTAATGGGTTTGCAATCCCAGTGAAAACAAATCTTGCTGTTATGTCATGCAGTCACTTTCTATAGACATTTTGTAACAACTCCCAATATTATTACTCCCAATATTGGGAGTTGTTACAATTTGAGTAAGGTGCTTTTGAATCAGGTCTTGAAGAGCTTAATGTACCTGCACCAAACCCAGACCTGAACCTCTGACTCTGTAACATCTATTGCAAAACTGTAGAAGAGTGGAACTGTAATAGCAGCAAAGAGAGGATTAACTCCCTATAAACACATGTGGCTTTGAATTCATTTAAACATTAAATGTTCAGCAGGAACATATGAGTGTGATGTTCTGGAGTTCATACGCTTTTGCCGATATAGTGCATTTTTACTATGGTGTCAGTGTGAAGTAATGCATATGAATGTTATGGTATAAATAGTTATGTTTCTGTTGATCAAATATTGACAGAGAAACATTATAGTTAAATAAGTTTGTTTGGATTAAAAATCAAATTCAAGGCAGCTACAGCTACCTTTACCTTAATATCAAGCTATATATATATATATATATATATATATATATATATAGGATTTTCATTGCATTTTCCTCTATGGAAGTAAATGATGCTAGGTGTACATTTTATAGAACCACATTTTACGTAAAATACATATGAATTATCATGAGATCACTTTGGTCTGACACATGCTGAAAGAATATGGTCTGGGCATATGTTGATTATCAATCAATCCTCACTAAATATGTTTGTGGAACGCAATGAGAAATAGTCTGTATGCACAAGCAGTGCTCTCTTGTGGCCTTATTGCAAACACAATACGTGTCTTAAGTTTTTCAAGCAATAAAATTTTTTCTTTTTACATGCAAATATAAATACAGCATACACATTATAAATAGAAAGACAACATGTTACTACAACAAAAATTGAGATGTGCAGTAGGTGTTTTGATGTTAGCATGTGCAAAGATCTTAGGCTGTCTGTTTTCACCTGCTGATAAATGATGCTAAATGCAGTTTTCAGATCCATCATACTGCATATACCGATGTATGTCGCCACTTTTAAACTTTAGCACTTGGAAGCTCCACTGGGATGCCACTTGTTTTTGTACACAAGAACCCATCAGTGTCCTTTAGGATTTGTACCCACCAACAACTCAAATACTATTTGTCTTTGTACTTCCAGTGAAGTAAAGTGAATAAAATGTGATCAGGTGAATGAAACAACATGCCTGTTGCAGCAGAAATGTCTGTCCGAATGGTTGTCACAAGTAACAGCACATGTTGTAGGCCTATTTCTAATTT